ACCCGCACAGACGCTCCCGAGGAGTTCTCCATCGCCGGGCTCCAAGGCAGGCGCTGATAAGGTGGCAGGATCGCAGCAGGGCTTGCAGCACGGACCTCCTAACCTCTGGCTTTCTTGGAGCCGTGCCTAACAAAGCTGCACACAAACCAGCCAGGAAAAGTTCAGCCACTTGCAGAATTGGGTCCCCCAGGAAAACCCCAGCCACTGCGCCCACAACCAACCGGTGTCTGCCCAGACACCGCCCTGGGCTCTTCTTCGTTCTGCTTTCTACAGACAGCACGCAATAACTGCTCCAAGAGCAGCAGCACCAAAGCAGTCAGGAGCTGGCAAGGCCGCACCAGCTCCCAGCGCCCGCACGGAGCCGAGCGCTGAGCTCCTGCAGTTGGTCCTGTTACCAATATCCACCTCCACCAAACCTCCAGGCCAAAGGCAGAGACCGGGGGCAAAGGAACTCCCTTCAGCCTCGCACCCCGATGACAGGCAGAGCGGCAGTGCGTGATTCCTGACCAGGGGCTGAACAGCCCCACGCAGGCGCGTTCTGCGGGATTCAGGAGAATGAAGAGACACCCTCGCTGCCTCCTCGCTCCCCTCCTGCCTCGTCACCCGCCTAGCGGGGAGGGAAGCCCCTCCTCCTCTCCCCACAAACCCCCAGAGCTCAGCAGCGACAACAGACACCGTTCGGGAAGGGGCAGAGGATCCAGCTCCCTCCGAGGGAGGACTGGGGCCAGTCCTGGCTTAACCTGGGGATGGAGAGCATCCCAGAAAGCGTCCAGATTTTTCACTTCTCCAACTCCATTCTTGTTACGTCACTAAAACCGTGCACAGGCGCACACGGGGAATGATGGTGGTCCCGCAGCAAGCACTGCCTGAGGACCCCAGGTACCTCCAAGCCAAGGTTGCACCTCCACTTCATCAACCCGCACGCAGGGACGTGGGGGGCACCGCCATAACACCGGCACCCAGCAATCAGGGGTTTATTTAGGACAGGAGTTCCTTGGGTGCTGGGTGTTCAACCACCGCTGCCTCCAAGACCAAGCGCGGCTGCTGGAGGAAAGGCAGCAGGATTCGGGCCAGGGATCACTTCTCCTCCAGCACCCCACAGCCACGCTCCGCTTTGCGGCCTCTCTTCAGTTTACCGAGGAGGAAACACATCAGGCTTGATTCCCAGTCCTAATGCTAACATTTGGATTTTGTAAATTCTGGTTTCCCCTCTTTATCAGCTACCGGCGGTGTGGGATAGACGCGGAGTCCCCCCCGGAGCAGCTCTGCCTCTCCATTCCCTTCGGCTCTGCCCCAAGCACTCGGACGCAAAACCAGACCACCATTTCCACAGCAGCGCTGGCAAGCGGCACTGGTAACTCCTCCTACGAACGGAAAATACCAGTTACCTGCTGGGGACAGACTCCAGAGGCCCCCAGTGCCACAGCCCCAGCTCCCTGTGGCCTCCCAGCCCCAGGCAGCGTCGGCATCGGCTGCAGGCACAGCCAAGCGTCGGGGCTGAAGGCTCCTGCAGAGCAGACGCTGGGGTCCACAACGGTTTTCTGAGCGAGGGCTTGAACATCAAGCCACGTCCTTCGCTTCTGTTTCAGAAATCAAAGTGACATTGATCATCAGGGGGGAAAAAACTCATAAACCCATGCACGGGGCAATTTCTGCCTTTGCTCTCTTTTGATGGCACTTTACAAAAGACGCGCTGTTGCTCCGGGCTGCGCTGCAAAGACCAGAGGCCACCTCGTTAGACAGATTAACGAACACTGCTGCCAAAGGCTTCTACCTGCTGGATCACACAACGCCGCTGTCCTTTGCTTCTGCCTGCGTGGTGGCTCCGCCGAGGAGCCTCCACGAGGGCTGCAGGCGACTGGCTGAGCTCAACCTCAGTGCAAACAGCATTCGCTTGCCTTTAAAAATGAGGGAAACTGAGGCACGGAGTGGCAGTGCTGTCTGCCTGCTCGGGCCAGGGCGGGGAGCGGGGCTGTGCTGTGCCCAGCGCTATAGAGCATCTGTCCAGACCCGCAGGCGAGGTCGCCCAGCAGCGCCCAGCACCCCCTCGCCAGCCCGGCACAC